CATTGTGGTGATATTTCACGGCACCATAGTTAGATTCTATTGAACCAGGACACTTCATTGACATATTATTTACAGATTTTCTTCACTTATTGAGAACGAAGTTCTGTTTTGAAGCAATGGACTTACAGTAACCGACAGACTTTTACTTATAATTTGTTAACCAGCGTATTATATCGATGTATTATCGATACAATCATACTGCCCGCCGACTATATAAGTGCAAGCGGCCCCCAATGTGCCGAACTACGTCTTTCATAGTAATAACGCTAACAAAAATAAAATTAATAGTAACAGTGATAATGATGGTAACAACACTACTGGTAATGAAGACAATGGAATAGTTCAGGTGTATCTTCATTATTCGCCGACCATAGCGCAGCCGGCCATCCGAGTTCGGCTCAACAACGATGTCTTCAGCCAGGCTTCTACCATTATCGGTCGGTTATCAGTTTATTTTCAAACGCTTTTTTACTTCAACAAAAAAAACACTACCTGAATGTTGTCGGAAAAATGCCACTGTCATAGCATCATCAAATCAGTTGAATGTGGGTCGTAGGTCGAAAATCTGTCGACGTAAATACGATGACAATTGACTGCTGAACGACTTTGTGTGAAACCTGTTCTTAAACGAAGAGCAATTTATGCAAATACTTTGTGTAAAAGAAGAACAGGTAACGACTCTAACAGACTCAAAAACAATCTTAACCTTTTTATTTCCATTTACTTCTTATTCTTTTTTAACAGCATGGTAGGTTGCGAAATATAACTTCTGTAATGCTGAGATACTTGCAAAACTCCGGACCGCAGGTATCTGCGGTGGGGAAAGAGCGCGCTATTGTCCTTTCCGGGAAGTAACGCGCTCACCACCGTTACAGCTCACCTTCATGCGGATCCTTCGTTTCGCCTTTCTTTCAGCTGTTACTATTCATTTTTTACTATCAGCAATCACCGAAACGAAGGATTCGCATGGTGTGGTGGTGAGCGCGTTACTTCCCGGAAAGGACAATAGCGCGCTCTTTCCTCACCGCAGATACCTGCGGTCCGGAGTTTTGCAAGTATCTCAGCATTATAGAAGACTCAAAAACGTTTAGAAAGATCTCAAAAATTCTTCCAACGACCATCTTCAGAGAATTCCACTTAACCTCAGTGCTACTATTCTGTGCAAAAAATTTCGAACAGCACCGGCATGTAAAGATACTTCTATGGAGTTTTTAGTATTCCTTGCAAGGATCATGTTAATACTTACGCGTAGAAAATCTTAGAACTTTTTTCCAAAGTCTTTAAAAATGACTGTTTTTTATGAGCAATAGCAAGGGATAATAAACTTTCTCCTAGCTTGTGGATGAATTCAGTTTTCGCACGGAAGAGAATATGACAGTGGTATCACTGATCTCCAGTCATTCAATTTGGTGACCCAGTCCATGTTCAGCAGCAAACATCCTTTTATCAAAATTTATCCAAAGACGGATTTTGCCAAAGAGGGTGCTGTAGATTGAAATCCAGTAAGGCGGTCTTTACTTGGTTTCCTTCCTTTTGTAGCAATTTTTTGTTTTTTTCTTTCATTTTAACTGCGATTTTCTAAGCAGGTGTTGACGAGCCCGACTATTTTGTTGGTGGATAATTCTATATTCTATATCAGATATCTATATATCAGATTAGATATAAACCAGATATCAGACCTATATCAGATGTTGATTCTATATCAGATTAATCCTTTCAGACGGTGGTATAGCTTTTCTACTGTTTTCACACTAACTTCACAGGCTGTGATGCAATACTGGATTACAGTGATTTTCTTTTAGGAGGTAGATTAAAAGCAGAGGGTACCAGAGGGAAGTGATCGGGCCTCTCATTAATTGACAGGTTGGGCGACCAATGAAGGCTGTCCTCACACAGCCCTGACATTTTCGTAATTGCTTTATGATTGTTCCATGGATCTTTCCACTACGAATGCAAAAATTCCGACATGTGGTTGACGTACGCCCGCTATTCGCATTTTCTCTCACGTAAGGCAATCACGTGAAATTCGATGTGTTTTTGTGACTTAGAAACATGATGAGGATTGGCACCGGCGTTAGAAGAGACTGCTGTGGTATTGCAAGTATTCAGCAAGAGGCGGTCTCCAGGGCGTGCCTAGAACATGTTCTTTCGATTGTGATCTAGGGATATGCCAACAAGACGGTACCTTAAATCTGGGTTAAACCGAGTGGCGTGGCAGCAAACTTCCATAAAATCCACAAAAGCCGGTGATTTCACCTAGTGAAGCCAGAGAACACCGCAATTGCTGGAAATTCCAGACGATATCACACTTGACTTGAGTTCAACATATCATTCGGCAGGAAAAACAAGACAGCCACAAAGGGCAGCCTAATTCATAGCCGAACCTGAGCACCTTTGTGAACTTCGGTTAGATTATGGTGGAACGGATAAAAGATGTGCTGGACCCGCCCGACGTGTGATAACGGGTTATCTAAGTACGTAAACAGCTAAGTAAGTAGCGTTCACTAAATATTTACAATTGTTCAACACATACACCCAACATGAATTTGTTTCAACTCACTACATACGATGGGAAGGGTGCGTCTGTCACGTGTCCCATTATACTTCCACGTGATTTCTGTGCGGTTGGTCTCTACGTGACATACTTAGTGGAAACCTCATAGAAAGCGGCTCTGAAGAAGGCGAAATCCGCCGAAACGTCAGCTTAATCGTGAACAAAGAATAGTAACACCTCGCATTTGCTCAACAAAAATACGAAGAAAATCACTATCTCCGAATACTTTAGCAGCGGCTGTCCGTATCGGAAAGTCAAAATGTTGAGCGACTCAGCTCCAGAGCTGAACAGGAGGAAGCGAGCACTTGGCAGTTTTCAAAAGCACTGAGCATGCAGTAAGGAGAACAAGCAACACCTGATTGGTTGGCTATCGGTACATATGTTCTTACGATCTGCACTTTTTTAGAGGACGGAATATTGTTTTATAGATGTTCATATTGTTGTTGTTGTCCTTGTTCAATGGCTAACGTTTTGGCGACTTCGCCTTCCTTAGAGCCTAGCCGTTGGATCAGCCATGTGTTGTTCACGAAGGATGATTGCCTAACATTTCGACTTCACGATTCGTCTTGCCTTAACGTGTGCGTCTTGCTACGTAATAGGGGCTGAAGACCACCCGACCTTATTGGACGATCAGTCTAAAGGAAGATGCTAGGAGAATTTCGTCTCACGTAACTAAAGAAGGAAAACCGAAGCTCCGATCTGCGTCAACGATCAAAAACCAAGGACGTCATTCTGTGCACCAGATTTTCGGAGAGAGTTAGGGCGGGACGCGCATATGAATGGCAGCTGATAGACAAGGGCCATCAGCGACTGATTTTCTCAGTCGTCGAGAGTTGCCAGGAATACCACCAACCAGATCATCAGAGTTTTTCATGCAAACCCTAGAAAGAAGATACGATGCCCAATGGTTCTATTAGGCAAGCGGAGCACACTGAACAAACTCTCTACCGAACTAGGAGAAATTGGAGGCTCACTGGCTCCCGCTAGACTTGGTCAATATTGAACGAGATGACATGTGACAAATGATATAGGTGATTGATTCACTGCAGGCAATATTTTTCTCAATCGGCTTTATAACTGCTTCTCATGAATGAGAACCGCATACAATTTAATTGTTAGGCGTTTATAAAATATCCTCGGTGGTTTGAAATAAACCTTGGAAGCCGGAATTTTCACTTGATCCGTTTCGCTTTTTTATGAGATGTTTTGCTTTGTGGTTTCTGAAAATGACCAGCAGACGTTTGTAGATGTCTTAGGATTCGTGATAGCACAGCATTACAAAGGAAAAATTAAATATCCTCGAATGGCTTAGGAGGGAAAATTTTTTCCACTTTAGAAATGAAATAGATCTCATTCTACATGACAAATAATAGAAAGTGCTTATATATTCTTACCATATTGATTTTGTTCGTATTTTTGAGCAAACGCGAGGTATTATTGTTCTTTGTTCATTCACGATTAAGCTGACGTTTCGGCGAATTTCGCCTTCTTCAGAGCCGCTTTCTATGAGGTCTCCACTAAGTATGTCACGTAGAGACCAACCGCACCGACCCTCGCGTTTGCTCAAAAAATACGAACAAAATCACTTGATCAATGCCGAGGTTAATAGAAAGTCGGTCGTGGCAGTTACCATATTGAGCTATTCCAAAGACACACATGCTCACATATTCGCCTCTTTCACGTTTAAACCAACGTAACTTGTAGTGGATTCGTTTACTGAAAAGAGAATCGTAAGGGGCGATGAACGCAGTGGTAGTAATGCTGGTCATCGCGAGAGCGGTGAAGATTCTCTCTTGTACCGGACTCACCAAGCATGTCATCTCACCGGGGTCGGTGAATTGGTACCAGATACCAAAATTGTTTAGGAAAAGTTTACTCTCTGCAATCCAAGTAAAAACACTCTAGCTTGGCTATCCCATAACTTATTGGAAAGCCGGCTGGTCGAGCCTTTGACTGGGCTAGCACACAACTACAACATTCATGGCAAAAGGAAAATCCTCATGCAGCAGCCGAAAACACGCGCGAAGGAAGGAATGCCTTCGGGATTGAATGTGCGAAAAGAACAAACTGAGTGCAAGAAGTGCTGGCATCCGCTCAGTAGATGTGAAAGATGGGTCCTATGAAATTTAAAAAATAGCAAATATTGAAGTTTTCTCACCTTTGCCAAAAAGATGCAATTTTTCCCTCCACTAAGAAACTGTTGCCGATTAGATGTTTCCTTTTTCACTTTTTCGCTTACATCAAAATTCGTATTTCGAACATAGGAGTAATTGGACGGGCTAAATATTGTTCAATAGGATATACTTGGTGTTCTTATTATATTCCTCTGCTGCGTTGGTGTAAGAAACCTTGAAAATTTGAACTGCTTTTTCGGTTTTTGAGTTCGAGTATAAACATATTTAAAATTATAGTGACATTCTACGAAGATTTTCTAAACAGCGTTCGTAGCCTCTCAAATTTCCTTGTAGTCGAGGAATTATCTTCAGATATTCAATAACCAAGGGTACGTGTGGCGCAGTGGTCGGACGGGTCCTTTGACACACATAGGATCGATCCTCGCTCGCAGCTCACCATGTCTTCCATTCCTCCAGGGTCGGAAAATTGGAACCAGACTTGTCTGAAAGGATAGCAGCACTGGCTTGATGCATCGGTAGGCCACAGCGAGTCCTTGTAAAGGCTAGATATGTTCTAGTCCCAGAACATTCAATCACCTCCAATAATGCTTAAGGAAGTCGAATGCATGGCGCATCCCTCAGAGATTGACGAACTCCGGGAGCTTTTATCTTTTTTATTAAATAGCCAGTTACAGCTATTAAGTGTTGAACTACATTTCAGCTGGACTCGTAGAGTACGAAGGGCCTCGAATAAGTATTCCACCGTCGCAGCAATGCTTTCCAGAAGGATGTGTTCAGGTGAGATCGCCTTTTTTCTAAGATTATTGGTTGAACTAAGTTTTGAAAAGTGAGGAATATTACAGTAACTGTACTTATAAACCTTAATGTTCTAAGAATTGGTGGTATGGGAGTGTACGATTTACGAGACCCAGGATAGTCAGTAAAGTCACAACTAGGCTCTATTTCAGATCACCTTATTTATATTATAGGTGGTTTAGACGACCCTTCTTTTCTTCGAGGGACCTACGTTTTCATTTAGAGTTATTTTAACCTATCAGGCTAAACGTGTATAACGTTGTGACCTTTATCTAATTTGTCTAATTTGTTTACCTGTTTAGATTCACTCATTACGTATGGTGAACTTCCGGCAACCTTCTAAAGTCTCCTTCGACCCGTACCCACCTAACCAGTTCATTATCCGACTTATGGACTTCGATCTTTTGTCAGTGATTCAAGTTTATCAGCCAACAGCCCTATAAAAGTAACATGAAAGTTTTCGTCACTCCTACGAATTCTACTTCTACAATATAAGCAGACTTAAAAACAAGAGCGTTGGTGTGAGGCTTTCGTCACAGAGACCCACTGTTCTGTTCGAGAAACTCAGCGGCAAATTTTGTTAACTATAGTGATTTCAATAGGTCCTCATTAACTTATTCAATTATTTGGTCGTTATACGTATATATGTTATAAGTCTGAGTAAATAGCAACCGCTTTAAAAAAGTGTACGTATCAAGAGGCTTCTGACTTCACTAAATGCTTCGGATATCGGTCTACTGTTAGGAACATCAAATAGGCTAAAGAAAGCCATTCGTGTCTTCCAAAAATCTTGAGACTTGTCAGACTGTTTTATATATTCCGCCCATTATGAAACAGTAGTGTCCAAAGCGTATCCACACTAAAATGTCCATACTAATTTCAGCGGGTTTCAGAGTTTTTTGTTTTTTCTGGAGTATGTATGGTATTCGATAGCTAATCAAAAGCAGATCGATCGAAATAATAGAGCTGGGACCAAAAATGCCACTTTCTACGTTTAATGACTTACGATCCTCTCAACGGTTTACCGCCTAATCGTGGATGGGAGGTGTTCTCGGTTGTCGGGCTGTAATGTACAGCGAGAGATTCATCACCTCTGCAGAGCCTCCTAAACTAAGAAGGAGCCGGCATTTTTATCCTGAAGCCCAACTAAGAGCAAAGCAATACCAGGATCCACAACCGTCCTGGTATCAAAGTCGCATGGTGGCAAATCTGCCTCTGAACTACAAGAACGGTGACTGCCTGTGTTGGTGACAACTTGGGGCAGACTTTGGTCATGCTGTCCTCGGGAATTCAAAGAAGCAAGATGGCTAAATCAGCAAATCTCCGAAGAATGTAAACGGTGCTGGGGTCCGCACAACCACTGAAAACGAACCATTCAATTCAATCTAAAGGAGTAAGTAGTGATTTAGAATGAACCTCTTTTCGAAAAGAATTAACCGATAACTTGACCAACAAATAGCTGTTATTTCATTTTAGTTCCTATACTAGATCATTGTTGTTTTATGGATTGTGTGGGTATAAAATTACTGAAATAGGCTAGACATGAACTGGAACATACAGTACAGACACTTTCGCATTTGCATAATGGACCATGATAACACAGTAAATATTAGCATACACATCATTCACATACACGAAACAATAGAGCAATGTCTCTTCTACAATTTTTTCATGCCACTCCCCTCAAGCACCCAATCTATTGAGAAAAGATTTTTGCTGTCAAAAAACCAGAAAGTTCGCAGTCGACGAAAAATCGAGTGTAGTGCCTTAGGCCAGCTACGAAATGCGGTAGCCGGGTGCCTGGGTTTACATCAACAAACAGAGTTCTTCGTCTTTTTGGCTAGAATATACTGCGGAACTGAAAGATGATCTGAATTCATGAAAGTAATCATTTTCAAATAAGTTTTTTCATAACAAAAGCACCACCACTAGAACAAGATTCCGAGTAGGAAAGAAATGTCCTTGTCCTGTTTTTAGGTAGAAGGTTAAACTCAGTTTTAAAGAAATCTCTTTTTTATAGTGTCACCGGTCAGCTTGGAGGATCGATCTTCTTACTCATTCCGTTACCGGTTTTTGGAACGATCCTTGTGTACGGTTAGTTTTCAATCGTCCTAATGAATGGGAAGAAAAGTAGTGAAATGAATTCGTACGTTATATGATGGTGAGTGTAGTACTCACGAGCACCATTCAGCCGTAGTGCAGCATTGCAGAACGAAACATATAAAAACATTTAAAAATCTGTAAAGTGGAAAGGTGTGTGTAGTAAAGCGTGTAGAGATTCTTTCATATACACTCGTGGTCGTCAGCTCCATCCCGCGCCTTGACTAAAAAAATTTCCTCTCCTTCTATATCCAGCAGTTTGAGGGAAACAAACGCCAATTTGTCATTTTGGGCCCCACGAGTTATTGCATAGACCAAATATGTATCCAATCATCTCTACGATACTGGATGAAGTCGAATAGTTGGAGCGTTCCGAAAAGACTGATCAGCTTTGAATACATAACCATTTGTCTTTTTATTACCTACTTACTTGGATACGGAGAGTTCGATTTCACTGGTAGTTTTCACTAGTTCGACGTTTTTGACGATTTTTATCTAAGCACCAAATGAAAACAATTACAAAAAGTTAAGTTCATGGAGAGCCTCATTTTTTTCAGTGGACATTCGATCATTCAAATGAAAAAAGAACGCATGGAAGCATCGCGAACTGTATCCGCGCCATTTAACTGATGTTATTGTAGAAATATTAGTAAAAGATTCAATGTGAACACTGTTTCTAAGCATTTATTCTTTATCGTGATCGAACTTTTCTTGGAACTTTCCAAAGTTGTCATCAGTTCAAGTTCTGATCTAAGAAAATGCGATTCTACGAGAGGAGCTGAGAAAGAAATCGTAATTTTCAGGCGCAGGAATTTCGGTGACGGCTTATATGGACATTCATAAAGCGTCAAACGACCTGCCGTATTTTCGAATGTTAAGCTGTCAGATTGATAGCGGCATTGTCGATGCCAAAGTGACAAATATGGGCCTTATCACCGATCTCGTAAACATGAGATTTCGCGTGAGTAGAGGTCTCATGTTGTATTTTACAGCCAACTGCTTTTACGGAAAATTAAACTGTTAAGAAGAGCTTTTAAATCATTGCAGAAATTTTTGAGGATTAACAGCGCGCATGATCTTTTGTTTCTTATATAAGGACGAAAGAATGTCTCATAACGTCATTAAGACCATAACTTATCCTAAATGAAAGGTATTGTAACCACAATCATGCTGAGATATTTGGAAAAATTTGGACCGTGCTGGTGCCTGTGGTTGAGATCGAACACTCTACTACCATTCCTGTAGGCTAACACGAGGCTCCAGATCAATTTCGTTGCCGGGTGGTTGCTGATAGCACCTATAAAACACAGCCGAGAGAAAGGCGAAACGAAGGATTCGCATGGTGCGGTGGTTAACGCGTTAGGGTGTTCGATTCCTACCGCAGGCATCTGCGGTCCGGAGTTTTGCAATTATCTCATCATCATTGCTGTTATATTTCAGATCACACTCTAGTGTTAAAAAGAATAGGCAATAGATAAAAAGTAATTACATTGTAAGGCAACGATTTTCCATAGTTACTTTTTAAGGAGGTAACCAAGTTTTGCTAATACCATCAAACAGTCCCGATTTTCTAAAAGTTTCGTTCGGTTTTCGTTTGTTAGTTGCATTTTGTTTTTTGAAAACATGTGGCCCACTAGATTGCAAGAATTCCTCGATCACCAGAAAGTTCATTAAAAAATTGATTTTTTAAAGATTTTGAAGTATTTGTAAACTTTTCAGGATGTGATGACGTCGCATTCCAGAGTGCAACTTGAGAAAGCCATATGTGAAAGCATCTATCGTCTCACTCAAGCACATTTCTCGAGTCGGCTGTCGAGAATTCCCCGTCAACTTCTCATAAGCGAGCTATTCAAGTTGTTTTTATCAGTAAGTCCAGCTTCGCCGAAACACTCAAATAGGCTTTGCCCATTATCAAATAGGTAAAATACTGAAGACAAACAAATCAGAATCAGTACGACTTTTATATGGGAAGAATTTCTATTAGTTCTCAGCCCACAAAACCCTGCTTTCCTCAGGGTCGGAGAGTTGGAGCGGAAGGTACCAGCACTGACCTGATACATCGGCTGGGCACTGAAAGTCTTTCCATTGGCCAGATGTGCATTCAACTGTCTCTACCGACGCTTGGTGGAAAGGAATGAATATTGGACTCTTCGGAGATTGATCAGCGTCAAATGCTTTATGTTTTTATTTCTCCGTTTATCTTCTTTCTATTATCATTCTTCACCGACGTGTTTCAAAACTAAAGGTGGTGGTTTGTCCGAATTCTCGGTGGCGCAAATCGGTGCCATGGTATTCCCATCGCTTATTCCGTGAAATGTCGTTATGACATGGAGTTTTTTTTTGCTTTTGCTCTCAACAGCGTTTATTAAGAAAATACTTCAAGACAAATTCTTGGAAAATCCGTAAAACATGAGTTATAAATACAACTGTCCACTGTTCGGAATAACGAACGTGAAGAGTGATGGAATGACTAGGAAGCTGACTCTGAGGCTCATTTACGTTTTCTAGCATCTTTCAGAGCCAACCATTGTCTCATCGATCAAAGGTGGTTCCTATTGCTGAAGTTTCAGGTTAACGCTGCATACTACTGTAATGCTCTAAGATACTTGACATTATGACATTGCCTATTGGACGCCCCTCTCAACGGCTTACCGCCTCATCGTAGCTGGAAGGTGTGTGAGAGGATTCATTCTTCCGGCAGGATCTCCTAAGCTGAAGAGTAGTCCGACGTTTCCATCAGGGAGCCTGGCTAGCTGTAAACCAATACCAGGATCCACCACCGTCCTGGTTTTAAACTAGTCGCATGGTGGCAAATCTCCCTCTGATCCACAAGGACGGCGACTGCCTGTCGTAGAGACGACCTGGAGCAAAGTTTGGCCAGGCTGACTTCGGCACTCCAAGGAACCATGATGGCTAAACCAGCAAAGCTCCCAAAAAATGGGAATTATGCTAGGGTTCGCACAACCAGGGAAGGCGGGCCGCTCAAGTATCCAAATATCCAACTACTGGATTGCATAACATCTCCATTTTATTTCTGATCTTCATAAGTGCTTATTTTGATTGTCGTGGCTGATCCCCAAAATCCGGCGACTGATGTGAAAGTGCTATCCTGAATTCCAGGAACGACATCCCCGCCAAGATCTATTCCTTTTTTGATGAGCTTACTCGAGGTTAATAAAGACATTTATTTCGGTTAACGTTTCGACGTCTTTGTCGTCATCAGAGCCGATGATCCGAGTAGATGGTCCACGCTTGCTCCTTATCTCGATGGGGCGGCTTCGCCTTCGTGTCGAGTCAGGTCTTCCTCAGCGGGCGATCTCCTCAAATGATGCATTCTCAGTCGGTGATGCTTTTTCATTCAGGATGCTAATGGTTGATCCCTGTGATAGTCTGGTGATAGTAGCTTATTTTTCCCGAACAATCAATCCTGCGAAAGTCGGTATCACTATAAGCCGGCAAAAGGCAATAACTATATTTCAGAACCGACTTTCCTTTAAGCTCGGTATTGCTAATCAACATGCACTTTTTCTTTGATGTACTTACACGAGGTTAACGAAAATATCTATTATTACTTGACACGAAGACGAAGCAGCCACATCGAGACGAAGAACGAGAGTGAACTATCGACTCGGATCACGGGCTCTGATGAAGACGAAGACGTCGAAACGTTAACCGAAAATGAATATCTCTGTCAACCTCGTGTAAGCTCATCAAAGAAAGAACACATGTTGCTTAGTAATATCGAGGTTAAAGGAAAGTTGGTTTTGAAATATTCTCGACAAAAATTCAGGGCCAATGAGGAAGGTGACCAGATTAAGTAAAAACCGAATCCCAGCACAAACTCGGAGATCTTCATGGATGACGAATGCGAAAAAACGAATCGAAGGAAAAAAGTGATAAGATCAGCTAAACATAATTTCGTGTCATGCAGATGAAATTAAAAATATTTGGTGCTCCGCATGAGGCCAACTCTGAACGGCTGCGGAACAAGCGTTGATTTCAGGTTTCCGCAGAGCACTTTGATTGGAAATGGATAAGATTCACCCAATAGGCGCTCGATTGTCCTATTTTTCCGAACTTTTTAAAGAAAACAAAAAAAAGCTTATTGCTTACTTTTTCACAGCCTTTTTTCTCAATACTTTAATAAACGTGATTTTTCAGCCTGCTGTGAAATCCGGAGTCAGTGCTGCCGCAGGTGATTCTTCATCATTATTGGTGTTTATCAACAAGCTCTCCCACTTAAGTTTTTGTATAAGAACCTTGAGTAAACTTAATAATTCAGCAAAATATCCTGTACCTACTTGGTGTTCATTATTCTCTCCATCTGTCTTTCTACATCCCACTGGTATTCCTCTCACTTATTTTGCGTCTACGACTCTCGTTTTCTGTTCAGCTTTCTCTCTTTCTTTTCTAATGGTTAAGGATTGGTAAAAAAAAATTTCAGTAGATGGAAGTCAGTTCGCAAAATTATTTTAAGTAGAGGAATTCATTGGTTTCTAAGCCTTCAGAAAAAGCAGGAGAGTCTTTAGACTGAGCATGTAGTTGAAGCATCCTCAAAACTCTAGGACGGGGGATCCCTTTATCTCTTTCGTGTTTTATTTTGTTGTGACTAAAACAAATTTTCGTGATATACTTGTTCTGGTCACCTTAATACTTTTTGACCGACTCTTTCACCTGTTTTGGTAGCTTTTTCCTTAAAATATACACTTCATTGACCACGTATCACTCTTTTTTAAAGATATTTTGTATAGTTTTAATATTATTTGTTATTAAATGGAGGAAAAATTCAGTTCGATCAAAGCGTGCCAATGACGACTATTATGACGATGTTGAGGGCGGTAGAAAGACACAAGCACAAACCTCGTCTCCAGCGGAAGCGGACGACCCCATAGCCGATGACAATATGGAATCAGAACAGTTCTCAGATGAAGGTAATACTGAAAGGTAGTATTCCACGGGAGTGGTTTGAACTGATGAAAAACTCAAAGTGCCTTTTTCTGTCGAAGGAAAGCTTCGGTGATCCAACTACCTGCTTTAAAAGTTTCCAAACGTAAGAAGACTGGCTGAGAGAAGGCCGAAACGAAGAAACAGTATAATGTGGTGGTGGTCAACACTTTAACCCTGGAGTGGCTAGTAGCGTGTTCGATCCCCACAGTAGACACCTGCGGTCTGGAGTTCTGCAAATATATAAGTGTCATTGTGGTTGTATTTCACATAATACCCTTCCGTGAAAAAATAATAAGCAGTAGATAAACAAGTTATGTCTGTTTTTCTTCATGACGAATAATATCGACAGTGAAAACTAGAATATGTAGTAATTTCCATGTTTCTATGAAATATGCCGTGCACTGATGTGTATCTTCCTGAGTGGCCCTCAAAAATTAAAAAGATGGAAGGGCGAAAGTAATCAATATATATATATATATATATATTGATAGAACTACAGAGAACTAGCTGAGAGACAGGCAAGACGAAGGACCCGGATGGTGTAGTGGTGAAGTGCGCTGCTCCCCGGTAAGGACAACAGCGCGTGTTCGTTCCCCGCTGCATACACATGCGGTACGGAGTTTTGCAAATATCTCAGCATTCCATACGAGTTATATATATATATATATGTCCATATTTCTTCACTCATTTTGCATTCATTTATTCATTTCAAGACTTATGTAGCATACAGATTAGAGATGTTCGGCAACATTCACAAGATGTTGGCGCGACCTCGTACCTCGGGCTAAATGAAACCCTCCATCGCTCTGAGTAGGCAAGTTGGTATAAGACCGAGACGGCGAAAGCGTTGACTTTGTTATCAATCAAGTGGTCATTTTATTTCTTCTATTTTATTTTACTTGATTCGTTTTTACATCTACTGTGCAAATCCCAGCACTTCTCACATTCAATTTGTTCCCTCTCGTCCATTGTCCACGAAGTTCCTCCAACTTTATGTGTGGCTTCGGTTGCTGCTTGAGGATTTTCATTTCGTCACGAATGTCGTAGAATGCCGGTTGAGCAATTCTCTCTGGAGTCCAGAGATAGCCGGACCGAAGCGTTACCAATTGGATTGCAGAAAGTAATTTTTTTCCGGCCGGTACCATTTTCACGACACTGGTGGAATGAGAGGCTTGGTTGGCCCATAGCGCAATCGAACTAGCACCGTGTTCGTGATAATGGACATCGCTATCGTTGTGCTATCCGCTCCTCGTAGTCATTATGTAGCCCAAATATGTATTCGATCACCTTTATCTGTGACATAATACCACAGTTCAACTGTTCCCATGATTGCTCATGATTTGAAATTAACTAATATCACGAATATCATTGGACATGACAGTAACCAATGTTTTTAATTTCCACATCTTGTTCAAATGTTAATACCTGGTTTCGAAAAGACTTTTGGAGATTTGGATTTTTCATATGCTCACCTCTAATTATTGAAACATATAAGCGTTCTCTGTTAATGTATCCACCTTCGCATACCGCACTTCCTCGATCTTCATGATCATGAACACCCAAGGCAGCTCACCGATAAATTTGCGATTCACATTACTGGAAAAAAATTGCTGCCCAGTAGAAATTTTCCAAGCTATTATCATTTGAAACTATCCGCTTGGAGTACTTGAGTCATTTGTACCTCTCATCTGCAAATATGCTAAACTTCTTCAACTTTTAGGAAAATCAGAGTAATAACATGGGCATGATACGCTTTACACTTTTTAATGATTAGCAGAGATGAAAAGTACTGGTGCGCGATTCTTTCATATTTCGAATCAGGCATTTTTTGCTGAGAAACTATAGTAGGACTACCGGAGGCAACTGAATTTGTTGCTATTTTAACTTCCTATACAATTTCTGCTTTTTATAGAGCTTTCTGTCACTGGTGAGATATTTATTTTGTAACGCTTATTCTTTCATTAATAGCATATATATGCGCTTATATTGTTGAGCCTACATGAGGCTGAAAAAGTTGTTCATTCGGCTAACGTTTCTACGATTTCGCCTTCATCAGAGCCGATGATCCGAGTCGATGTCCGAGTTCAGAGATGTTCGTGTTGTCCAGAAGTACAAGTATATAACATAGGAAAAAAAGCAGCATATATATATATATATATATTTGATACACTCATAGATAATTCTATGCTCGGACATAATCCTGTCATTGGCAGCATTAGCAATGTAATTTTAAATTAAATAAATGAAGAGCAATTTTATTCCAAAAGATCTAAACAGTTCCGTTGGAGTATTCATTAGAAAGCAATTAAATTTCTAGGAATCCGTAGTGACCTATCCACAACTCGAGACATCACTAGTGCTTTCAATTTGGTACGTACTCTTGCTTTCCTCTTTTCAACGTATTTTTTTCTTTTATCCCGGCAACATACCACAAAAATTTCTTCATTCTTCAACATAGGAACGCCTTCGACATATATGGATCGACTTGACGATGTTGGATGCGAGCGCTACTTACAATGACTTTACTGTCGGATTGTCAGGAGCAGTTTCAAACTCTAGAACAAGTGAGCCACTCATGCACATTTTTTTTTATCCCATTCATTCATCATGACTATGGTGTCAGAAAAAGAACGATGTGTGGCGGACCTTTCTGGACTCGCTTGGAAGTATGCGTTTATTTGAGAAGTGTTTATTCTTTTAATCATCTGTAAGTAAATCGCTTAACTATTTTTTGGGTTAAAAATGAGTTCCGATTCAAAATACCATCTATCACTGGTGCATCGGGTCCTCACGATGATTATAATGACATGAATGCTATATTTTCTAATTTGTTGTGGCGTTTGCTTCTCTTCGTAGCTTTTTATCCTAACATTTTTTTGTGAATTTTTATGATTCAAACCTTAAACCTAGGTGATTAAACTCTTAAAAGCCAACAAAAAAAACGCAGCGATGATTACATAACTGTATTAACAAACGTAGCACGTATAATAAGTAATAAATTCAAAGCGTAGGTGATTTAAACAAAACGTGCGTATACGACTGAAGTTAATTATGCTTACATAAGTGGAGCACTCAACGTTTTAATTCTAACAGAGGCGGGAAAGCAAAAAGGTAGAAAATACAACAGCACCTAAGTGAATAAAAGGATCAGTAAAGAATAAAGGATACAGCTGTCGGCGCTTTCAGTGTTTACCTATCGCTGAGGGATGCGTCATGCATTTGTCTTCATTAAGCATCGTTAGAGATAATTGAATGCATATCTGGCTTGTACAGTGTTTCGCAGAGGCCAACAGATGTACTAAGTGAGTGGCTCCGATTCTCGCAGACAGCTCTGGTACCAGCTCGCCGACCCCGGAAAGACTTGGTGCGCTTGGGGAATAAGATCGAACCCATTTATATAGCAGGTCACCTTTAACCACCGCGCTACACGCTTCCCATAAGGATAAGCACTGCTTCTGCTGCCTGTTTTTCAATGGGGACAGAGTTACCAGATATAGCCTCAGAGTTTCGCACTAGGTGGAATCCGATAGAGGTGTTTTTGTGTGCGAAACTAGAGACAAAAGTGCAGCGTGTGTAAATATTTAATTCATTCGTACCGCGATAGATGTGAGAAAGTTTATAAGATATAAATATAATGTTTACAAAAGAAAAGACGGCATGAAAAATTCTAAGAAATTACATTTTACGTTTAAATGGGTGAATAGGAGCATTCGCAAGCTTTTGGTGAGTGTTCAATATGACGTGTTCATAGAAATAAAGAGTGTTATCAAATAAATAGAGAGTAACTTCAATATTTCTCATTTGGCTTAAAGTTAAAGCCAGTTTACTGCATTTCAAGAATAATAGGATAAAGAGACGGGGATTATGTTTTGCGAAATGGTAAATGGCTTTTGCAAATGTCGCGAGAATCGGTTATTGCTCCAGGGAATGAAATTGCGTTTATCCGAGTAAGAATTAGCACCTCGTGATGATTCTCTTTCAGACGATGTCTCACCATATCGTGTACCATTTCCATTCCGACTCCCACAAAGTTCGCAACAACGAATGATCGAAGTCATGATCTCTGATTACACCATAAATAGTATGCTCTATCACGCTCATAGGTTTGTTCGGTTGATTTTAACTAAAATGGAATATCATGGACAAAGCCAGTGCACGAACGCACATACATACATACATACATACATACATACATACATACATACATACATACATACATACATACATACATACATACATACATAAATACATACGTACATACATACAAACACCAACACGCACACACACACACATTGCCTAGCCTAAGTTAATCAGTGCTCAATCAGTAAAACCTTAACCAAATTGTACGTGTCAAAAAGTACCAACTGAAAAGTCGGAAAGGATCTTCATGTCCGAAAACATTCATGAAAACTTCACTAAATCTAACCGCGTAGTAGAAAACTGTTTTCAGAAATTGGCAGTAAGACAGTAATGCCTCAACATTTTTAACAGTAGATGCACTAGATTATTTTCTTTTATCCAAGCTAATGATGTGGCCCACATATACTGTTTATGCTCTCATTGAAGGCGTGGTTAATCGGAGAGGCTCTAGCAAGGTTTCCTTTCTTCTCAATCGCGCCCCAGAATTATCCACTAGGCCTCTTGACGCAAGCATGTCATTTTTTCCTTCTAGAATTTTCTTAGTCGAGTATGAGCGCTAGTGTTCGTGATTTGTACCTGACATTTCGTGGCACTCTGTCGCTAACTGCTCAAACTCACCGCGTATTGTGAAAACGGGTGAAGTTCCACAACTTCGACTAATTTTTAACTAGGTTTATTTGGAATCTAGGATTTTAAGCTACTTCAGGGCACGCCGAATGTTAGGGTTGAAAAGGTTACTGAGCACATTGATCGCTTTTCTTTTCACTGAAACCTCGAGTGTCTTGTAAACTCCAAGCCGCTAGCTTTCTATTGCTCAACCTCACATATGGGCACTCATCATGTCGATTTCGTTATCCACATATACATATTTGGAGGATTTCAGAGATAATCGTTGCATGAAAGGAGCATTAAAAGGTTTACCTTTTCTGTAAGCATTGATTTTTGAAACCAAGTGGAAAACAGATTTTTTCAAAGCGTTGTCGGTCAGCATTCACTTATGTCCGTTAATGCTCCATTTTGTGAGAAAATTATTAGCAAAGTGAAGGTGTAGGTGTCTCTTCTGACTTTAAGTTTCTTAGTATAAGCTTTATTCCACTTTTCGATAGCATTCTCAACAGTGTAACAGAAGTGGTTGTGGAAATGACCAATATGACGAGAAGGGCTTTCCTAAGAGGATAAGTGCTATACAAACTAGACACATCAACCAGAAATTCACTCTATAACAAAACTAGGATTGGCACAAAGCAAAGGCTCCGATCATCGGCTCTGACGAAGGCGAAGACGTCGAAACGTTAGCTGCGAATAAATATATTTATCAACCTCGTGTAAGCTCACCAAAGAAAGAATACAAAGCGAAGAACTCGACAGAGCAATAGAGGTTCGCCAAAAAAAGTCGAAACTGTCACAATAGGGCCGACGCCCTTTACCAATTCGGTTATGTGAGAAAAGCGGTTACTTGTACTCTAGCGATATTTCGTGTCCAAATCTGCCAAAACCAGTGTTGGAGAGCTATCCACCGATGAGGTGTCAAGTCGAACAATACAGGAAAGAACTGCTACTCTAGCACATCCATATATCCTGGCAAACTGTGAATGTAAGTGTATTCGGCTGTGAGAAAGTTCAGAGAAGATGTCGTGTGTGAGATAGTCCGCCTAGATAAAGTTACCTTTTTTCCTTAGCCCCAGAATGCAATTACCTCTATGTTGTAATTAGCAGAGTCTCGGTGAGCGGATGAGGAGCGTTAGCAACACTGATCTACTTCTGTCTTTGAGATCTTTTTTTAATCCGGTTTTGGACGGTACATTGCAAGTTCAGATAGAAGTTTGTCATTACCAGACGTTTCTTGGCAGCTTTTAAACATGGTTTATTATCGCCATAATGAAGGTACCGGATTAGCCGGTTTAATGCTGTCTAAAATCAATTATCCACTTAGCCAAGAATCCACGTAGGGAATTCAAAAAAAAAAACTTTAATTTCCTGCAGTTTTACAATTGCCTACTATAAATTTTATGCCTTCCAATTCTTTCTGTGGAATTGTGAGTCACCATAAATAACCTTGGTCATAATAATTAACTCAAAGTTCTCTTGTCCTGCAGTATTCTGATCCGTGCTTCACAATTTTACGCATTTGGACACACCTACCAAGGTCAGAACTATGCCTAAGTCATCACTAACGACGTTTTGAAAGATGTGACCTTCCTTGCAGAATTTCGAGATTTACATTAAAAAGTTTCTATCCTCCCAGTGAAGTCCGGTGCCAACTTGCCGACCACAGAGGAATAATAGGCTTGGTTAACTTGGGCGCGGAACCGAACCCTACGCACGTGTATTGCACTCTTCCTCTGGCAACTGCGCTGCACGTGCTTTGGGTTTGCCAGTAGTGACCTTTAGTGCCAAAATAAAGTCCTAACGGGCCCGAATTCAAATGGTTCCATTTAAATAAATTCCTCTCTTCGACTCTTTTCACGAAACCTTAAGACATGCCAATAAAACATCGTTCAGTTGGAAAAACGTCTTACCTGATAGGAAGTTATTATTGAAGAACAACAATAATTGAACGGCACATAAAGTAGCATTATGATCATTGCGGCCAAGACCGGAGTTCCTATGGTAATGTAGATCAAGGACAGAGCGATGACAATCTGCATAAAGAGTTAGAATTCTTAATGTCATTACAGTATGGAAACAACCATTAGTGTTTTGTGTTGCAAAATGAAAAATATGACATTAACAGCAGGATTATCACAACAGGTTGAAAAAATAAAATAATTGAACAGCTTTACGTTTTTATTTATTCCGTGCTTTATATGTTTCAAAGAAACATCATCGTCATACTGCAGAGAGTACGAAAGAGTAGTGTTGACGTTCCTGGCGCCGTCATCTACCGGAATGAGGGACAATCGCCTTTTCCACAAATGACTTTTCCAAAGAGAAAATTAAATAATTATTCATCATCGATAGCACCAATGACGTCTCATAATGCTTTTATCACCATCAAACGTGGTTTTTTTTGCCAAATTTGAAATTTATGCCCTTTTGCATAAGATGCGGTTTGTCTGAGTTTATAGAGCTGTGCAGAAATGTAATAACTCTGGATGATGCAAAAATGGTTTCGTAGCCGATTTGAGCTCCCAAGATCAATTCCGTCAGGTGATTGCTGATGGCAAAAGATCGATAGAAATAGCCGAGAGCCAGGTGAAACGAAGGACCTGCATGGTGTGGTACTGAATGCGTTACTCTCCGAAAAGGACAATAGCGCGTTCGTTCCCCACCGCAAACACCTACGGTCTGGAGTTTTACATATATCTCAGCATTATACTAGTTATAAAAAATGTGCATTCTAAAACGTTAACTGCTCGAACGAATCGACGTTGGTTGCCAAACTCACCTTCACGAAAATACCAACGCCGTCAGCTGCTCCATTACCGCAAGGTCAGAGAAAGGACTATTTTTCAAGGTTAAAAACGAAATTTAATATGCGGTGTTTTCTCATTTAAGTCAGTCCGGACCTCATAATTATTTTTTTAACCTGTACAATCACCTCTTCGGCGAAAAGCTCGTGTGCTAATGTGCTTATTGCAAATCCCTTCATATTCTCCTAAGATTTAAGAAGCCTAGATTGAGCCTGTGATTTTCGAACTCTCTCCGCACTCCTTCTGTGTAGCCATGCTGTATCGTGGAGATTTTACAGTTAAGGAAATGTTGGAGTTCACTATCAACTTTTTACTACAAAAAATTCTGCAACTAACCTACAAAGCATTTTCACGGAGCTCAGTTAATGTAATAGAAACGATTCCGAGCTAACTCTTCTTTAGTAATCCTCTGCATGACTGAGCTGATACGAGGTTTCGGGGAATGCCTGGGTACTTTCGCCTACTTCAGCGCAGCGTCGATCCGAGTCGTTAGTCCACTGCTGGTCGTTTTCGTGAAGTGGGTGTTCGCGTTAGTATCGAGGCGAATCCGATGGAGGGAAAACCGTTCGAATGAGGAGATTCATGCACTGGGGGCATTTTTTTAGAGAACGGACATTGATGAACTGCCACCTAATATGATCTGTTTTTCTGGCGCGCAATGTGCCATGTAGTTCATTTGCTCGCAGATAGCGCGGCAATATTTTAGAAGCCAGCTGTAGGCACCGGCTCCGATTGAAGCGGTTCTGAAGAAGGAAAAAACACTGAAACATTAGCCCAATAAAAGTTTGTACCAAACTCGTTTGCTCAGTTTTGTAGAAAATTGTTGATTATTGTTAGCTCAGTTTTGTAGAAAATTGTTGATTATTGTTATCGAGGTTTAATGAAAGTCAGTTCTATGGATACCTCTCATTTCCACTCATTTCAGCGAGATAGGATTTGGTTGAATCACCGTACAGAATAAAATCCGTATATTTTCAAACACAGTCGAAGAAGTGTGCACCAATCCATGTATGTCTATGCAACAGGCACGTATAGCGTCGTGGTTAGAGATGCCCTAGACGTGCTTCTTGGTGCGATACTAGGATTTGGGCTGAGCATGCCTTCCATCCCTCCAGAATCGACAATTTGTCACTGGACTTGTCTGGGAGGACAGCAGCACTGGCTCGATAAATGGGTAGACCTTCCACCATCCATTGTAAAGGCTAAATGTGGCTTCAACCACTCCATGCGACGCTTAATGAAGTCGAATGCATAGCGCGTCCCTTAAGAATTGATCGGCGCCTAAAGGTTTGCCATTTATCTCTTGAAAGCAGAAGGTAGATGGAAATTTGTCCGAGATGTATCCGCACTCTACAAGATATTTCGTTTTGTATCTATAGCAAAAAAATGTTAACATTCGGTACTAGCGTTCTATATTGAAGTTCTGAGTCGTCGCTGTCCATGCGAACAAACTGCTTGGGGTATGCTTCGTTTTAAACTATAGGAAGAAATCAGCGGTGTCATAATTACCTGACAGGCGGCGTCGCGCAATGGTAGTGATGCCATTCATCATAGGATCGGCCCTGGATGGACACCTTCCCAGGATCACAACCCTCTTATCCTTGCGAGGCAAGGATACTGGTGCCAGACTTGTCTGGGAACAACTCATTGTCCTCAATCCAAGTGGGAACACTTTAGCTTGCCTGTCCCAGAACAGGGAGAATCAACTCAATTAGGTCTCATAATCACATAATCATAATCAATCTCATAATCATAAAGGATTAAATAAAAAACGTCTGCGTGATTAATTTGCTCGCAGTTGGATGTTCATATAGGCAGTTTCCTTTATTTTGCCCCGTTTTAATTAATAAATTTGAGAAAAGACTGCGAAGTGCTCCAAACTGCGTACTGGAAACTTTAGCTAATCATCCAGTCATAAGCATGAGCAGAACGCTGTAAGGAACGATATCACTTTTGGCTATGTTGATTGTAGAACACTTTAATTTATACTTCAACTGAACTCTTTGCTGACTTCGTGAAGAGATTTCGATGTGTTGACAAATGCTTTCTTTACGACGAAAAGCTGTCGTACATCTCAATCGTTTTTGTTACGAAGAAAAAATGGATCGTGGGCATTCTTAGAATATTTGCTGCTGCTTAGAGTATCTCAAATAATGTCTTTTGACTCGACATTTCGAACTCTGTTTTTCTTTGGAAGAAAGCGTTCCATTTTTTTTAAAAGAAGAAGCATATATTTGCAACTTAGTTCTAGGGTGAGGTTCAGAGGGATTTTAGTTCCAAGCGTTGGACAATTTTCACAGTAGATTTTGTGCTTTGTTCAAAATTCTTTAAGGCCATAAGCCTTTATAGTGACCTATACGTTACAAACCGGCAAAACATGTTGAATAGATATCAGATTTCTTATTTACAGGTGACCTTTTCATCGCCTAGCCAACCTAAGAGAAATGACCGTTTTGTTTGAACTATGTGAACACCGAAAGAGACACCATTTGGGCGCAATTTGTGTTTCGCTGTAGTGCTCAACAATGTCTCTAGCATTTCCATCGATTTCAAAAAAACACCGTTCAGGACAAATTCATTGCTTTTCCACGTCAACTCCCGTACTCCGGGTCTCGGTTCGCTTCTAAAGACAACGTGCTCGGCTGATGAAGTTTGTTTATCCGATCACGTGGAAGAAGTAAGGAATTCATGCGGTTTTTTCATGCTACAAACGCAATTCAAACTTTGTTAGGTATGACCGGTACACGCAGCAACCATGTTCGCTAGAATAAAAAGGATCAAACAATCCCTAAATGAAAAGGGCAGTAGGCATCGTGTGAAGGGCAGGCCTCCACAGTAAATCTATCCTTTCACATCTTAGTCGACACTAGCAGTCATAGTCATAATACCGTTTCTGAATGGCTTTTCAGCACGACGACATCACTAAAATTATAAACAATTAAATATATAGCAGATAAAGATTTTCCTTAAATAATGATATTAAAAACCCATATAATAAAATCTGTTCCGTCCGTTTTCCAGATCGGTGAAACGCACCCCAATAAAACCATGCAGCTGATTATTCGGACGACCAGCCCACCGCTTGTGACTCTTCAGAATGGTTTGCAGAATATCTTTCTAAATCCTATTTTATTGACTTTTACAGATAAGCTTCAAAATGCACTAAAATTCAATTTTAACCACTTTCTATGTCGACCGTGCATTATTTTTCTTTTTCCCCATTCAATAGGTAGCCAATCTTGGGATAATCCCATTGAATATCAGTTTCAGCCGTCCAATTTTTTTCTACTTTCCAACTTTTCTGCTAAACTGCTTTAAAGAAAAAGAAACCTTGTAAAACGAAACAACGACCTGCTCCCATTGACTTTAAGAAAACGTGGGTGAACTATTTTGCACTACTTCGGTGGTCCACCATCAAGCCATCACGAAAATTTATGCGATAGACAACACAGTTTCGACTTTTGTAGTACAACCTACATTTTTCTGTTGCCACGCGAGATGTTTCCCTTTAACTTCATATTTGCATGTAGGAGTGAGGTTTCCTTCTTTGAAACGGTGTTTGTTGTGAAAGCAGTGGCGATTTTTAACATAGTTGTATTGAATTTTAATTCCGTTAATTTTTATTCCAAACAGATGTGGTCAAGCTTACTCTCGACGGCCGTTGCCTCTTCCTCATTGAGGATACACAACGGCAGATTGGTGTGATACCGTTCTCTGCAGATGTTTACGCACAACTAAGGACAGTCGGAACACTCTTAAGAGGTAAAGAAAACTGCAATCTGTCATTATTATTACCATTATTATTATTTCTACGATTGTTGTTATTACTGCCATTATTATCATTTCTATTATTATTTTTATCATAACGCTATTGTTGTTATTATTGCTATCATCATTGTTGTTATTAATATTTATCAACAATTAACAATATTTATCCTCCCAACGCTTTACCGCCTCATCGTGGTTGGGAGGTGTTCCTGGGTGTCGGACTGCGATGTACAGCGGGGGATTCATCGTTTGGCAGGGTCTCCCAAGCTGGGAAGGAGTCCGGTGTTTTCATCAGAAAACCTAGCTAAGAGTAAGCCAATACCAGGATCCACTACCGTCCTGGTATCAAAGTCGCTTGGTGGCAAATCTCCCTCTGATCTACAAGAGCTGCAACTGCTCATGGTGGTAATGACCTTAGGCAGACTTTGGCCAGGATGACCTCAGAACTCTAGGGAAACATAGTAGCTTAGCCAGCAAATCACCGAAAAATGGGTATTTGCTGGGGCCCGCACAGCCAGTAAGGACGGCCATTCACGTTCAAGTATCAAGCATCAATATTTATTTATATATAGATTTGTCATTTGCTCAACACAAGAGAAAATGGACAAATGTTTTGAGTTACTGAATGAGCAGTCAGAGTATATTAAGTTCACCTAAGAGAAATCGAAGGAAAACTGGCTTCCATTTGCAAATTAACCTGTCGGAAAATCGCTACATCACGAAGTGGTACCGAAAGCCAAGTAGCAAAAACATCTTTGTTCATTGCCTCTCCTCTCACCCTTCACACACAGAAAGGGCCTTAGAGCGCTTGCTAGAAACATGTTTCGAACAGTAACCAACGTGTGCACGGGATGACAGCACAGAGAGGAGTCCCGGAACTTGGCACGGCAAATAGCCATTTCCAATGGCTACGAAACTGTAGCTCGGGATAGGTGTGGGAGAAATCCTAGGCTCCCAAACGACAACTCTAGCGATAGAAGGGTCCCGTTTATCCTACCCTTTATCTCAAATGATATAAGTGCAGCTATAAAACGCTGCTTAAGAAGGGCGGATTTAGAGAAATCGGTAAACGTAGTTAAAATGTCATCGAGTACTCTTAAGACGAATAGGTTGGCGAAACGGGTAGACCATTCTTTGTCTACATAAAGGAACACCTACTCGGGAAACGTAAACCGAATACCCCACTAGACACGCATAGAACCCAGAGACATAATGGGGAAGATTTTAAAGTAGAAGTGACTATCCTCGCACAGTAGTAGAATACAAAAGCACGCAAAATTCTAGAAGCATTCTGGATCAGTTCCAAGAATACGAAAATGAACAGCAAGGAGAAATACCTCATAATCACCCGTGGTATTGGGCAGTATATAAGCCTGTTATTCTGATGAGAGGGGCATATTACGCTTTCATGTGAATTCTGTGCGGTTGGTCGCCAAGAAACGTACTTAGTGGAAGACTCATAGAAAGCGGTGATTGTGCAAATCTGCGTTTAATGTGATTGAAATCTTGGTTTAGCTTCTTCTCTGTTTGGTTATTGAGGTGTTTGGCCGGGTATATTGCTGTCAACTTGACCTTTCCAGTCTCTGAGGAAAACAAAATCCGCCGAAACGTCAGCTTTAACGGAATAAAAAATAAAGTAACACCTAATGTTTGCTCAACAAGAATGTCGAGTGCTATTAATATTTATTATTGTCTTTAAACTATTGTTCCATGATCAGACATCATATGCATGATATTGTGCAGATCCTCAGCACTTCTTGCAATCAATTCGTTTCCTCATATCTATCGTCTACGAAGGCCTTTTTTGTATTTTGCTTCGGCTCTGCTAATTGAGGATTTCGTCCTCATCACGAATGTCGCTGTTTGAGGTGACTCTTTCTAAGATTGTGAGATAACGGTGTGCTAGGGCGCGCCCATAACGTTTAGAGGAAGTGAGTTTGCCCAGGCAAGTCTGGTACCAATTTCTTGACCACGGAATGATAAAAAGCTTAAGATTCCAGCGGCTGGGTCGAAACAGTGGGTACGTTTGACTGTCCACGTAAAGAGCGAAACCACCTCCACTGTGCTACTCGACACTATTTCTATTTGACGAGTATTCATCATTTTGTTTATACCTCTTATTTTACATGACTCGTCATCATATCCACTGTGCAAATTCCAGCACCTCTTGCATTCGATTTGTTTCCCTGCATTCTGCATCGGTTAGCCAGTGGAATATGGAATAGTGGTCGATCGGATTTGTCCTCTGTGCGCCAACTGTAGACGGAATGCTCGACTTCTCTGGTTCGCCACCCGGGACTTTTACTCGTGTAGTTGTGTGTCGCACAAACCTCAAACTTGGGTTATTAAACCGTTTATGCACACAATAGCTGCACGACAATGCAACGGGCTTAAAAATATAGGGCCTCTCAAGCTGAGGAGTCCGGTTTTTCCACAGAAGGCCCAGCTAACAATAAACCATTATTAGAATCCACGACTGTGCTGGCATCCATCTAGTTGCATGATGGCAAATCTCCCTTTAGTTTAAAAAAATGGCAACTACCTAGACTGGTTCTGAGAAAGGACAGACTTTGGCCAAGCTGACCTCGGAAATCCACAATGGCTAAACTAGCAAAATTCCTAAAAATAGAGATCGTGCTGGGGTCCGCACAACCAGTGAGGACGGAACATCCAAGTATCCAAATAAGTACTACCTTAAAAAATTTGTTGTGAAGGAAGCAGATTAAGTCGGAAAGGAAAATAAAGATGGAAGGGCAACAGCAAGTTTTACGTGTCGTCTGCAAGTGAACAGCAGTGGTTGGTGGAGTGTCACACGAATAGCGTGGGTCGTAGGGTTAAAAGCACGGGTCGCAAGGTTTAGTCCGTAAGCAATAAACCGGGCTCAGTGCCAAGCCTGGTGGTGTGTGTGGTGGTTAAAACGGAATGTGAATGTAGGGCACGCACGCTGACGTTGTGGCAAATATTTTAATATGCAATAGGTTACACGCAGTTGCGAGAAATATCCTCCACTGCTTTATAGAAAATATTTGTTAGGTGGATACAGAATTCTTTATTTGGTGGAGAAATTCTCTGTATATTTACCTGAGAATTTCCCTTGTAGCCTTGGAGGTAGCCGTCCTAAGGCGTTACCATGTAGATTGGTTGGAGGTAAGCGTTGGGTCTGAGATCGTATTAGCGCTTTTTGCTCGCTGATCAACGGCATCACTAATCACTGAGTTATTCCTCCTCCATCTTATTTATTATCCAACAGTATTCTGTTATATATTTTGCAATTCGTCTATTATTCTGTTGTGGCCCTTCGAAGTTACATGAATATTGCTTAAATCTTATTTAATTGTTTTTTTTTCAGAAATACGCTTTAAAATTTTTTAAAATCAATCTTATACACTCCCTACTTCGTCCATAAATATTTTTATTTCTCTAGACTTTCTAGTACGGGCGGATAACACAGTAATAGTGATCTTCGTCATCATGAACGTGGTGCCAATTCGATTCCGCTCCGGGCCAACCAAGCCTCTCATCCCTCCAGGATCGGGAAATTGGTGCCGGACTTGTCTGGAAAAAATTCACTCTCTGCAATCCAATTGGGAACGATCCAGTCCTGCTATCTCAAGAGTCCAGTGGGAATTGCTCAACCAGCTTTCTACGACATTCAAGATGAAATGGAAATCCTTAGGCAGCAACCTAAGCCACACGTAAAAGTCGGTTGATCTTCGTATACAATGGTTGCGAGGAAACGAATGGAATGTGAAGCGTGTAGGATTCGCTCAGTAGACGTGAGGGCAGGTTATATAATTTTTTATTTTATAAAATAAAATAAAATAAATAGCATATTGTCCAATATATTGTGGTCAAATAAAAATTTTGAAGCCACATGGACGATGCACAGGGTGACAGATAAAGCAATATTGTTGAGTTCGAACGTCTGAAATAAACATTTAAAAAATTCCAGAGAACCCCTTTTCTATAATTAAAATAGAAGATAATATAGAGCCGTTGTTTAATATGTAAATATTACAGCGAAAACTTGGATAACGAAGCTGGCCTTCAACAAAGACATCCAGTTCTTTGGCTTGACGTTGAAAGATTTGGATAGTTTCCGAAAGTCGACACAAAAAGCATTGGAAAAATTAGTGAACTCTGCTTTAAGGAACGGAATCCCATTATCCGCTTCTCAGTTGAGGTGATCCTTTTCATTAGTGAAGTAGCAAACATAGAAATCCTTAGTAGCAACAGTGAGTTTTTTGGATTCCATGATCCGCTACGTCAGCTTAACGACAAAAAATTGGGTGGAGATTAACCAAATAATGCAAAACAAACCTGTACTGTGTCACCTTTGTAACACGTTAAAACTCGTCCACTGATGTGGACGAGTTAACCATTATGAGTAAAGCATTTCTGCATGTGCGAGAAAATTGGTGAGCACTTCAAATAAGATAACTTTAGAAAAAAAATTTTTTTGCAAACTTCAACATGCAGGTACTCATAGTTGCCTTTGAATTTCTAAGAAATTCCACGCTGTCCAACACATATTCGATCGACAGGCTAAATTATCTAATGAATAAACAAATAGGTTAATATTTACGCTCTATTTGAAATAGTGTAGTAAATGATTGTGGTTCTGTAATGACTTAAACGATTTTTCAGATTTCCTCTTCGACTGTCGGCCATCCATTTGTCCATTCTACCTGGTTCCGTGCTTGTTCAAGCGAATGTTGATCTCTACAGTTCATTCTACAACCGTATCAGTTACTCTTAATCTATTATCAGCCGTCGATCCGATGCCACTAATTTCCTTTGATGTCACTAATTGACGCGATCCAAACCGAGTTTTCATGGCAGGGTTACTGAGGGTAATATGGCCGGTGTAGTGTAACAGAACCTTTTTACGACTGCAGTAATGGAATTCTGTGATAGAAACAGAGATAAATCCAAAATAAGCACTTGACATTTTTTATATGTTATTCATTTGTTTGCCGTTCATGCCAGCCTAGTGATATTTGACGGGTTTTTCCCGTTAGTTAATGTTAATGAGTACTACTTATGAATATTTCGGGTAGTTTTCATGCAACTGTAATGCTTGGAAATGCATATTTTACCCAAATTTCTTTGCATTTGTTAAACGATAAAGGAAAACATTTCTATCAGCAGACCAGAAGGTCTTCTTCCTGCTGAATTCTTATTTTTGTGTAGTGTCCTTATAAGCAGGAAGATACAAATTTCTCTTGTAGCGTGAGCAACTCACGTACAATCGTTGTCCTTCAGGCTATAGACATGGATCAAGGCTCTTTACTCACTATGCTTAACTTCACTGGAGTGTTTTTTATGTCCAATCTTTCATGTTCTTCAACAACGAAGGAGCTTAGCCGAACGTCATCACATATTTTTAACCCTTTCGCAAACATGCGTATTGATTTTGATATGTACGCTGATGCATGCTATGGACCGTATAGATTGATTTCTATGAGCACGCTTATCACTGGTTTATTTTATTCCGTCATTCACTTACTTTATAGACAGCTTTTCTAGTCCTTTTGTAGGCAATCGATAACTTTTGAAATCCTAGTGTTGCGCTGGGCGCTCAATAGTTTTGGAAGACTGTGCTGCCCTCAGAAGTACAGAAAA